CAGGTATGTCATTATGGTCAAACTGAGTTGTGGTCGAAGTATCTTTGGCCCTTTTATATAGCACTGTTGCTTAAGCGTACGAAAAGAGGTGAATATCTGAAGTGACACTCTTCTTGGAATAGGTTAGATATTTTTAAAGCCTCATTTTCGTATCGCAATATTTGCTTTGAAAAATCCTCAAAACATCAGTATTTATTCTCAGCTGACAGTTGCATGGTATTTCCTATTCGGGCAGTGGAAGTTTCGACTTGGTTTTTGTGTGGTACCTTTGTCCGTCGTAGTTTGAACGCTCCTTTCATTTTACTGTTTCACGTTCACTGTGTGCTGATTCACGGTGCGCGTGCGCGGCGGACTACGCAGCTTTCACGAAAATTTGACACCTTGCCGATCGGTGATACTTCTCCTCGTAAACGTGAGGTGGTGGGAGGTCAACTGCAAGCGGGTTCTTCTTGTCCTACTTTTTATGAACTTCTCTCGCTCTTACTGCTTCTGTTAGTGGTGGTCATCTGTTTAGTTGACAAATATCGGCATCAATGCGGCGAATATCGGATTCTCCACCCTCACGATGGAGTCCGATAAGTACATTTGCGTCCGTGAGAAGGTTGGTGAATCAGCACAGGTGGTGGTCATCGACATGGCGGACCACACGAATCCGCTTAGACGGCCGATATCGGCTGATTCGGCCATCATGAACCCTGCTTCGAAAGTGATCGCCTTGAAAGGTAATATGCATGCCAAAAAACTTGGAAATTTTACAGAGCATTTTACAATTAACTGCCTCGATTTTCCTTTTTAAGCTGGGAGAACGCTGCAAATATTCAACATTGAAATGAAGAGCAAGATGAAATCGCATAGCATGACCGAAGACGTGGTGTTCTGGAAGTGGATCAACGTGAACACTGTCGCACTTGTCACTGAAACTGCCGTCTACCACTGGTCGATGGAAGGTTAGTGATGTTTAGTTGTCCATTTGTAAATGGTGGCGTTATACATGTTTTTATGTTCAATTATTTATTCAATTACCAATTTATTCAATTTATTGTTGCTTCAGGCGAAAGTCTCCCGCAGAAGATGTTTGAACGCCATAATAGTTTGGCCGGATGTCAGATAATCAACTATAGGACCGATGCGCAGTGCATGTGGTTGTTATTGATTGGCATAGTTGCTAGGGTAGGTATTTCGTTACTTGGTTAAATAAGGTTTTGAATGTATGGTTGCGAATGTGCAAATTATGCCTATGATAATTTGTTCGTCAAAACTAGAACAGCAGCAGGCTAAAGGATAGATTAATTTTGGAACCAAAAATAGTTGAAGATGATATTCTGAGTGGAAAGAAAAGAAAATTTCGACATAAATGCTTTGCTAGATTTTTTTAGCTGTTCAACGGTTTAGACACTTTACCAGAATGCCAAAAGGGAAATAGAAAACGGCAAGCCGAAATCTTCGTAAAGCCGCGTAACGAACGGTCAAAAAGGCGACTAAGAGCCGAGAAGCGAAGGTATATTGAGTTAACGGAGAACTGAAGTAACTGAGAGCAGTTACTGTACTTCCTGCTCTAACAACCTTTAAGGAATAACTGGCTTTAAAACCGGTTCACGAAACGTTTCGTAATGAGCAAGAGACTGTTGCGAATAAAATGATGCTAGGTGAATATGACACCTGTGTTCAAATAATAGGTAGCTATGGTCTGCTTGAATGATTCTCCAGAAGATTCATTCATCCTTGATTCTTCCAGGCAGCCAGAAGCAAGTAGGATATGCTGTGCATCATTAAATCCGATATTTGGTGACACTATGCGCTTTTAGACGTCCTTCGAAAATGAATGAATTTTTTTCGCAGTAAATTAAAACAGTTTACTGTACTGTTGTTCATCAGTAATATTATTGCTTTTACATAATGAGTTAAGTCTTACCCTCGTTTGATCATTGATACGAGTTTTGGTTGTTGATGATTCCTGAATGCTGTTAACATATCCTGCCCTCTTATGATATTATTAGTTCAGCATCAACCTACAGCCTTGAACCATAACCATCATGCTTTGGATAAGGTCTTAACTGTACAAAAGTTTGCTATCATAATTATATGTTGTCGTGAAAGCTCCTTACCCCTTCCTTACACTTGCCCGAAAAAGGAAGATGGTACTGTACTGTATTATTGTGTATGTGAATGGCGTAACGCGTTAGATTTGCATTTGCATCAGTAGTACTCCTGATTAAATGTTCAGAAATTGTCGGATCTTTTGTGAAGTGATCGTAGTTATGGTGTATCCTCTGTGTTTTTACTAGCCGAATGATTACGTTGAAACTTAGGGTTTGTGGCACTAGTAATTGTTGTTATTGTTATCGTCATCCGAGGTGTCAGGGTCAAAGATCGAATACCCAGATGAATGATGTCGGACGCTTTGGCTTGTCGGAGTGATTTAGACCATGCTTGTTGCTGCGGCGAAGGTCATTTTTCTCGTCGCAAGAAAGTCCGCCAATAGCAGCTGCAGTAGGGTGTGATGTTGGTCTCCGACGCTCCTGCGGCTGTTTTTGCTTCCCAATGGGGAACGGTTCGGAGAAAGTTCCCTTCTCTCTGCGGATGGTTCTATCAAACCATGGCATATGCCGGTCCCTGATTTTTTCAGAAGGTATTCTCAGGCCGGTAGTTTTCAAGTTCTTTTCATTCGTTATTCGACTGAACAATTGAACTTCCAGTATTTTCTGTAGGCACCGTTCTGCAAAGTGTCCGATATTTCGGTGCTTTAAAAGGGTTGATTTTTCTGCTGATTAATGGAACACCAGCTGTAATAATATCCCGTGCAGACCTAAAAATAACCTCTGCATCGAAAGAAACACATTCAACTTTATTTGACCCTGTCATACCAAATCGTGTTTGTTTTTTAGCACTCGGGGTCCACCAGAATAGGGATCACTGGTAAAAATTCTAATTTTTCTAGACAATTACGGCCCACAACATGCACTAAGAAATTAGTAATTGCTACGAATATGTAGTTCTTTTATGATTTTCTATTCAAAGGATAAACTTTAAGACTTTCATGACCGGAAAATAGACACCTTGTTGACGATCAAAATAATGGCAGATGTAATTTACCTTTCCATCGTGAGTATTTTTCAGCATTATTGATGAAGTGCACTAAAACTAACAATTCTGTCCAAAATCGAAACGAATATCGAATACTGTTGTAATGCACGTATGTTACCTTACCACTGTCTCTAGTTGCTTATAAGGCCATTCAGGCATGTCAAAGCTCAATGTTATGTTTGTACCTGCAAGTATAGATGCATGTTATCTTGTTTCGTTTTCTGAGGTGTTACGTTGCTTGTTACGAATAATATTTTGGAGCTTGTAACAAATGCGATTCAAAATTAACAAATTTTAATGATGAAACAGAGTTCCAAACAAGACTGACTGTCATTCATACGTAACTAATTAGGTTAGAGTTAGAAGCAAGAAAGGTACTCTAGCAGGGTTCATCACTTGTTTAAATACTCGACAAAATTGTCTGCACAATTCAAATTGATCAGTAAGGTTTTTCCTAATATTTTTAGAGTACCAAAGCATCCGTTTGCAGATTGAAGGACTTAAATGAAGCCTCGGAATCATGACAAGCTTCCAGTTTTCAAACGAGCGAGTGTAGCTATGTAGTAGGCAGTCAATAAAATAACCTTCTAGATAAAATATGATCTCAGATCTGCTCGATCTTCTCTTTAGTGGTAACTTCCCGTACTTCTCTTTGACGGACGACGAACCCTGACTCTATACAGAATGACCAACCGCTAAAATGTCAGTGCCCCGATACCTTCACGAGATGCGATGCACTCATGTTGATTTTACTAGTAATAGTGCTGACATAAGTGCCTTCACTAATAAGCTAATTTCAGGATTTTGTTTTCATGTAGTACAGAAAGAATGTTACTGAAAAGGAATTACATAGACTATTTTCATTGATACAGTTTAACGAAAACTTAATCAGTGTACATATTAAATTTAAAAAAATTTAACTATGCCTTATTTTTTAGGACAGTCGCGTTGTTGGTGTTATGCAGCTTTATAGCATTGAAAGAAAAGTCAGTCAGCCGATAGAAGGTCATGCTGCATGCTTTCTTCAGTTCACACTTGAAGGAAATCCAGAACCTTCGAATATATTCTGTTTCGCTGTACGTAATGCCACCGCCGGCAAAGTAAGTAGTACCTTTTATTTTACGTTGAATGACTGATAAAAATATGAGACTGTAACCTCAGTAAATTTAAAACAATTAAGAGTGATTATGAGGCAGTACCTGCCCCATTGATCTCATTGTGCTTATGCTTATAGTTGCATATTATCGAAGTTGGTTCGCCCCCGGCCGGGAATCAAGCGCATCAGAAACGAGCAGCAGACGTATTTTTTCCGCCTGAAGCACAAAACGACTTTCCTGTGGCAATGCAGGTAAAGATTTAGTTATATATTACGTTACTGTAATGCATTTATGCTGATAACTTCGTATAATATAAGGATTGAAAAATTAGAGTATTTTACTCCGTTGATTGATTCTCAGAACAGGAGATGAGAAGAGAAACTGTATTGTTAGCCAAATAAAGGATCAAGAAAATTTTCAGAAGCGGTTTATTTTATTCTTTGCATACGTTGCTCTTTGTTTAGTAACTTAATTGACAATAACACCGTTGTTGTTTGCCTTACATATAATATCTTAAGTGTCGCTGCAACAGTATGAAAATCTACAGATTGAAGTTGGAAAGGTTATTGCTTGAGTAGGGCCATCAAAGAGTCAAATCCCCTTTGAAAGGCAGCGATACAACAAATTGGCGCAAATTAAGCAGCTGAAACAAATAAAAAGCAATTGACAGAAATAAAAATCCCATTGTCGACCTATCAGATGATGGTCACACGACGTATAAAAGAAAAATCGAAAATTTTGTTCAGGATACTAAAGGAAAAGCACCACAAAACTTTTATTTCAGACAAAGCAAAATTTAAGCCACTCAAGTGATTGACCTGTACCGAAAGCTCGAATCGTATCTCACGGAATTTTTTTTACGGTAAACCAGATGGTGAAATTCTGTTGTCAGATTCCTCTGCAGCAAATGCTTCGTTAGAAACCGAGGAGATTTTTGCAACCTTCTAATTCTTTAACCGTTGAAATGTCAGTTTTTTATAACACTTGCATGCTCTGGCATGACAAGCATTGTTCTTTGTTCTGAGGAATGACGATAAAAACACAAATTTAAGCTGTTTATACTCAAAATTTTTTAGATCTTGGCCATCCAAATGTATGGTTTATTGAACATCATTCAGGGCTCCCGTCCTTCTTGCCTATATTTTTTTCTTAATACTGTAAATCACATTGTTAACGATTTAGTCGCGCTTTGATAAGGTATTAATACTCATACAATCCTTCCATTCGTGCTTATAAATCAAGTGTTTTAAGTAGAACTGCTTTAAAAGATCAGGATTCTGTCAACGCGGGATGGCCCGGCTTTGCTTCTCGATTAATGACAAGTGTTCAACGTTATTATCTGCTCTCCACTGAAATGATGCGGAGGCTGGATTAGGGGTAATATTTTCATGATTAACGCCGTTTGTAGCACGTTTCTTTTTATTAAGGTCATGACTTCGCGTTAATTTCGATTATCTCAGCCACAAATCGGCTTGTTACTAATGATGGCAATATTGACTTTGTAGTTACGCTTTCTGCTTAACATATTTGCATTCAGTTACTGATTTTAAAATTTATGCACTGTTCAGAACAAACTTTAAATACAATATCGTTATAATTGTGATACAAGGTGGCACTGCCAAAACATACATTCATCGTTAACTGGTATTTTAGATTTGAACTTGACTGAAGATTTTAGTGAACTTTCCAATATTTGCCAAATATTTACGTCTGCTTTGGTTTAGGCAAATGGAACCCATGGAATTATTTACCTCATTACAAAATACGGATATATTCACCTATACGACGTGGTTTCTGGCCTGTGCATTTTCATGAACAGGATTTCGAGCGAAACTATTTTTGTTACCGTTGAGTACGAATTGACTCATGGTATTATGGGCGTGAACAGAAAAGGACAGGTGAATTTCTATCAAGGTTTGTAACTTCGAGTACCACTTTATTCCATTAAGGTACTCAGCGTTAGCATCGACGAAAACAACATGGTTCCTTACGTGACAAATACGCTGCAAAACCCCGACCTAGCTCTAAGCTTGGCTGTACGCTGCAATCTTCCTGGGGCTGAAGAACTATTCGTTAAAAAGTTCAACAAGTTGTTCAATGAAGGAAACTATGCTGAAGCAGCAAAGGTGGCTGCCACGGCACCCAGGGTAAGGCGAAGACGGTGATAATGTTCCTCCATGCCAAAACACTCATGTTGCTCGTTGCAGGGAATTCTACGAACCAGGCAGACGATACAAAAATTTCAACAGGTGCCTGTTACGCCAAATACCACTAGTCCGCTTCTGCAGTACTTTGGTATACTTCTCGATCACGGTCAGTTGAATAAGTACGAATCTTTGGAACTGTGCAGACCGGTTCTACAGCAGAATCGAAAACAGTTGATTGAGAAATGGTTGAAGGAAAACAAGGTGTTTGTTTTATATTTACAGTATTTTACATATTATTTTGTGATGATTAGATTTTGTCAACTTTTCCAGATCTCGTTTATTTTCCCCTGAGCGGATAAATCGTAACTGTATTATTGTAGTGTAACAGACGGTTAACCTATTCACAACGCAAAAGACACTATCACGATCATTTCGGTGACTGACCAGTACCGACGTTTCGATCCATGTCTAACGGACCTTCTTCATAGTAGGTTGGGGTTGAAGTATCGTGAGGTCGTTCGCAACAGTCGATAGTTTCAGATCCAGGTCTTTCGCATCGTGTAAGTAAACTGTTTTACGCTATTTCTTCAGTATGACCACCAACGCAGGAACGAATTACTCTAAATTGAAACTAATGAAATGTCACAAAACAAGGTAATGTGAAAGCTATCTTGCCCAGCTGAGAACTACTTGTTCTATTAACGAATGTTCTCCTCATTAGGAATGCCTACTGCTCGCTGTTTTTAACTTTGTTGCGATTTAAAAGCGCTTCAAATTTTTGTTGTATGTTTGCTGAAATCATTACATTGAGCCGTTTTTTATAAGCAGAACTTCCCTGGTGTGTGATGACTGCGGCATATGCAAGATTTCAACTCTGCTCTGCGGCACCGGATTCTTCAAAATTCTTATTCCTCTCCAAAAGCAGATCTATCTCTAGTTTGTTCTTTCACGTTACATGCTTGTCTTCTAGTCGACGTCTATCGTATTTCAGCTGCAACGCGAGAAGCTTGCGCTAGAGTAAATGATATATGTTCAACCAGCTTGTCTGACACTGCCAATCTCCTGTTCTTAATCTTCACATCTACCGAGGTCACCTCTGTCCGGAAGCGAACGGAGTCATCCCTTACGTAATCCTGCCATTTAACCCTCCTGCGTTGAAGCAGCATTCCTTACGTCGTTCTTGCTCTTTCGTTTGAACAACGGTCTCCATGTCGTACAACAAAACTGATCTGGCAGGCAAAGCACAAGCCGATTTTCATCGGTAGATTAATTTTTTCCAGCCCAAAATTGGACACGTTTCCTAAAGCATTCAAAGTTAGGTCGATTCTCCTATTTAACTCTGTCTGACCAGTACCAGCGCTAGAGATGATGAAGCTCGAGATACTTAAACAGGGCAACCTCTCGAAGGGCTTCCCCTACTTCTTCCACTTTTAGATCAGCTGTGTGCCAGATGAATTCCTCAATACTTCTGACTTTTGGGCTGTTTAGGAAGAGGCCGGTTTTCGCGGTATTGTTGCATATGGAAGCCGTAAGATGACAGAGCCCGCTCCCCGTACTACTTACTACGATAATATCATCTGCGTATATCAGGCCCGCAATACATCTAGTGAGACATCTTGAACTGTGCTCTCTCTCTCTAGATTGAGATATTCTTCTTGGTCAAAGGAAGCACTGTTTCGGAGAAGAAAATCGAGAACATTGTTGAATAACAAATGAAAGGCACACACATTTCCCTTGCGAACTCCACAGTTAATAAAGAATCAGATAGATCTCCAACTTTCATACGAGACAGGGTTCTTACATACACCTCCCTAGATTTGTTTAGTATCCCGTAGCATTTGAGGATTCTCTTCCTCGTTTGACCATGTAATATAATGAATGAAATAGCGTATTGAAGTCGAAGAAATTGTTAAACCAAGGCAACTGGAATGATCGGCATTGCTCACTGATCCTAACGCTGATTGAAAATTTGGTCGGGGCACGAGTAAGTTTGGAGTATTCGGAAGCTCGCTTGATTTGGCCGAAGTCTCCCATCAATTTCCTGCCTAATTCTGTACGGAATAATCGAAGATAAAAGTTTCTCGAGAGTTGGCAGTAGTGTGATATCACGATAATCTGACTCTTTATTTCCTGACTCCTTTAGATATAGGAACGATTACCACACTTTCTTTCTCCTGGGAAACGTTTATAGGTCCACATTTGATAAAAAAGCACATGAAACCCTTTCCACCATTCCTATACCACAGTGTTTAATAAGCTCTGCAAGAATTCCGTCCACCCCTCAGGGCTTCTCCGAACTGAAGTATAGCATGGCCTTTTGCATTTTTGGGTGGATCTGTACTAATTTTCAGTGTTGGCCGAGAATTAACTGTCGGGAATGGCCGATCTGGATGAAGCCGTTGAACAGCTGCTGGAATGGTTCATCCCATCTTTTGAGGCATTATTTCTGTTCTACCAGTGGGGCATCGTAGCATCTTGGATAAGGGACAGACCGAGTTGCGTTCATTCCGGACAACTGTCGTACTCATTGGAACACTGTTCGCTAGGCATCCTTTCTGTTTGCCTTGTCGATTTTTACGATTTCACCCTCCAGCCAAAGTTGCACCCTGTGGTAGACTGTAACGAGACGGCAGTGAGTTAACGTCGATGCTACAGTAGAGTGTTGCAGATACTCCTTTGCAAGATTCCTTTGCACCCGAAGGGCAAGGGTCTTCTTTGAAACTCGGGGCAGTTTGCCATTTTCTTACTAACCCCAACTATATTTTCCGCCAAGGAAACGACGGCTTTGTAAAAGTCTTTGTAACATTAATCGACGTTGCCATTTCTAAACTGGGCACCAAGTGTGGCATTATCATAAATTTCTATCTCCTGTTGGTAAGCTGTTGACACAGCTTCGTTGTATTTTACATAAAGTCAACATTGAGTAGCTGATGTTTCAACCAGATAACGTCGATGCGACACGGTTAATTTTAGAACTTCTGCTACGACGATATGATGATCACATGCAATGCAGGTGCCACACCTAACGCGAATCTCGAGTAATGATGTGTGCCATTTGCAACTGATGAGGACGTAGTCCAGCTGAGTGTTTAAGCTTTCGTCGGGGGATGTCCAGG